ACCCCTAACCCCTAAACCTAAACCGTCTGCGGGAAGATGTGGAAACTAAGGCCTTGTTCAAAAGAAACTCTACACTGTACCCACCTCCCGAACCCTTCAACCCTAAACCCAAGGTCAAGGGCTGTGGGTTTCGGATGAGAGCTGGCTGCGGACCTGGTTCCCGAAACTTCCACCCCAAGCCTCGCACCAGGGCCTGTAAGCCCCTACACGTCAAACCCCCAAAACCCCAGACCCCAGAAAGACTAAACCACCCTGAAACTCTAGACCCCAAATTCCCAGCCTTGAACCCTGAACTCCAAACTCATGGACCCTTAGCCAACAATCCATAGACCCTACACCACAAGCGCCGTTTGAATGAGGGGCCTCCCCCAAGGCGGTTATTGCAGCATTGCGCTCTGCCAAGCCTCACTGATGTGGGGTTAAAGGACATCAGCTGGGTGTGTTTAGGGATTTGCGGTTGTTAGGGCTATGAGTATTTCAGGACTGCGGTGCTTCAGACTTTGAAGATGTTTAGGGTCTTTCGCGCTGAGTTTTTAGGGCTTTAGGGCATTAGTCATTGGTGATGCTTGTACTGGGCAGCAGCCTGTGGGGGCTTGGGACATAATAAGCTTGCGCACATCCTAGAGGCTTCAGACCCGGCAACAGAAGCCGACTTGCTGGCTTGGCCTGCGCGTTGCAGCGAAGCATCGAACACGCTGAACTGCACTCCCGGCAGAGTCGGAGAATGATAGAAACAGACAAGTAGAGAACAACACAGAGAGGGTGAAAATGGAAAAGGTACAAAGAATGAAACAAGACATGAAAGATAGAGAACCAGGCCAGGAAAAAAAAAAAAAAATATATATATANNATATATATATATATATATACTTCCGGAGTGCATGAAACTTGCATGTGAAACGTCTGCGAAATGCCTGCACCCTAAAGCCATGTTATACCGGTCTGCCTTGACAGTAGCAATGCTATCTTTTCTCTTCGGTAAACCATACTATGATTGCAACCAAAAACCCGAAGCCCTATTCAAGTCGTTAAGGCCTTTGAATTGCTCTGATACCTTGAGTCACCTCGTTTTCAATACGGTTATCCTAAACCCTAAATCTGTGTGGAGGGCTCCATTCCGCTGCTATTGGCGGGCACGCGGTCAATGCCTTGCAAAGACAGCGTTCGAGCTGGATTCAGGGTTCAGGGGTTTGGCCTTTCCGCATTAAGATGAAGGAAGCCTAATTATCGAACCCCAAACCGTGCTTGTAATGGGCATGGGTTTGCGTAGGGTAGTTTGGTGGAAACCTGGAATCTTCGAAAACATGCCTTCAACCCCAAATCCAGGCCCTCCGTCTACTGCTCAACGGAGACTACCTGTGATGATTTCTGTCTGTGTTGTGTGCTAACTGCTCGGATTCGCTCAGCCAATGATGAGATTGGCACCTCTTAGTCAGAAGAGATCCAGCAGAGTGTAGCGTCCCAGTCTCTGAATTACCCTAAACTGCCGTGAGTTTTGGGGTTTGGATGGGTTTGGTGTTTGGTGCTGAGGGTTCAGAGATGTTCAGAGTGTCAGTGTGGTCCGGTGCACAATTTAGGGTTCAGTGTTTAGGCCTTCGTCTTCGCCAGACCCCGAAAGCCGCCTGCTCCCAACGGTCACCGCAGATGCCGAAGACCTGACACGCGGACTCTCAGCTCAACCCGCAGGGCCCTCAGCACGGACAAATTCCTGCCCTGCGGATGAGGATCAGATTTCACTCCCAAAGATTTGTTGGGCTTTGACTCCCGGGCTTGCAGTCCGCGAGCGGAATGGACGCAGTATGCATGATGCCGCATATATAATATATATATATATACATATATATGTGTACATGTATACTTTCTACCTAGATATGACTCGAAACAGGCTGGATTACGCATGACATATCAGACTTGGAGATCGCTAGAGCAAGAAGAAGTTCGGGGCCCCTAATATAGGGGCCTGAATCGGGGTATATTATATACTATAATTACAATAAGGAACCCCCGAAAACCCTAGTCTAATGATCAAGGCCCCTACACTATGTAAATCGGCTTCGCGGCTTGGGAACAGATTTGGGGTGTTCTCAATATGAGGTTCTGCGTCACTGTTTTCTGAACTACTCTTTCAGCTGGATTTACTTCTGAGAGTCTCGCACGTAGTCGGTGACGTTAGTTCCAAGATCGTTTGGCGATGGCGCCGGAAAAAGCAACTAAGGGCTACACCCAAAAAAGCCTCAACACGCATAAACTCCAAATCCTAAGCCCCAAAATGCGTAACCCCAAGACCCCAAACCTCAAAACTCCATCTTAAACGGAAACTAAAAAAAACTTCACCTCCGAACTGAACCCGAAGCCCCAATACAGGAGCCTTTACGGCCTTCGTCGTTACCCAAAGGAAGTTGACTGCAGCACAAGGACCCTAAGGAATCATGTTAGCAACGATCTAGGGGCCTATTATCATTATGGAATTTATCTATATAGTAACCCTAAACCCTAAACCCTAAACCCTAAACCCTAAACCCTAAACCCTAATAGGGTTCTACATAAACCAAAACTCCGTCATTCCCAAAGAGCTCTTGGTCCTCCCACCGCCGTCCGCGCGGAAGCCGCCAACTCGAGGCCAAGCGATCCAAGCTGAAGAAGGAAGCCGAGGGCCTGCACCCTAATTCCTAAGCCCTCAACCCTAAAAGAGGGTTTAGGGTTTAGGGTTTAGGGAAGGTTCGGGCTTTAGGGTAGAAGTCTTTGAGACTGCGGGAAGAAGTTGGGCTTCTTGCCTGGGAGGGAGTAGGATGTAGACCTTCCCAAGTTAAGTTGCTAACGCCCTCTAAGACCCTGCATCCTGAAAAAACATCGCACAGGGGTCCCCGGGATGAAACCTAGAAAAAGCTGCGGTTGCCTTTAGGGCGGCTTTCGGAGAGCTTCGGAGCTTAAAGCTTTACACAGCCTCTGAATTTAGGATTCAAGTGTTGGTCCGGGATCAAAGTTTAAGGGCCTCGGCTTTTGGACATCAAGCCCTGCACCCTACATCCCAAATCCCTGAAGCCGAAGAAAACCCGAGGACTCAAACCCCGAAGAAAACCGTAAAGTCCAGACCCCCAAACTGCAGCTACAGTCCTTCGCCCACCGCTGTGAAAGTTCAAAGGCCGACAAGACCTTTGCAGCTGCTTGGGTGTTTCAGCGTGAGGTTGGGGTTTAGGGTTTAGGGGTTTGGGGGCTTAGGGTCTGAGGTTTAGCGTTGGGTTTAGGAGATTCAGGCTCTGAGGCATCGGGTGTGAAGGCTGCTAGGGGTTGAGGCCTGTTTGCGAGGGTCGCAATGAAGCGCTTCTTCGACATAAACTTTTGGAGATACAGGTAATACCCCTGCCAGGAGGTTAGGTTTTAAGAAGAATGCTTTCGTTAAATCTCTTCGCCACCTTAAACCCTAATTTGGGCTTCACAGTGTCGTTTTGTTTGAGGGCCCAGGATTCGATGTGTAAGGTTCCAGAGGCAAGCGCGTAGCATGCACTGGGCAGGTTGGTGGTCCTCCGGGTTCGCGCTTTTCCTGTTTTCTATGGCGAGTATCCCCATATATACTCAAAACCAAAACATACACTCGCCTGTGCAAACTTTCCTAAGATGTCCCAAGCAGTCTCCAGTCAATCCTACCGTGAAACCTACTGTACATAATTCGGTATTTCGGGATGTGGGTTTTGCAGGTTTTTCCAGAAGCTGATCCCGGATCCGATCCGACTACACGCAGAGGGGTGAGCGATGAGGCTCGAGAAGAAAACTCAGACGAGGATGGTGGTGCTGATGTTGACATGAGGAAGAGGAAGAAGAAGACGAAGCAGAAGATGATCATAATAATATGATGATGTTGGTGATGATGATGATGATGACGATGATGACGATGACGATGACGATGACGATGATGATGATGATGATGATGATGGTGATGACGATGAGGAGGGGTTTACCAGGGCCTTCCTGCAAGCCCCAACCCTAGTCCGCAGGAGACCTAGATATCACAACCGTTGTAATGACCTGGATGGCAAGCCACAGCTCGCCATCAACAAAAACGCACACACAAATACACACAAAAACTGTCAGGCAAAGGAGCACCTCCACCCTCCCCCCGCTCCGCCCCCTGGCGAATTACCCACTTCCCGAAACCGCTCTCACTGGGCCCCAGTGCGGAGCTGACGGATACGACGTCCGGCCTTTGCTGTGGGGACGGAGCGAGAGCCCGATATCCCGGAAAGGCTCCTTTGATCTTGGTCAGGTTTTGGGGTTGGGGCACAGTGTTTTCAAGAAGAAGAATCCCCTAAGCCCAACTATCATTCTGCGACGCTTTCTTTGTACAAGGTGCATGTATAGCCTGCTGGTGAGCTGACAAGATGAGTCCGGGAGCAGAAGTCAAGATGCCCCCGGTGGCTCCTGTTTGTGGTCATATGAAAGATCCCATTTTCTGACCCTAAACCCTAAAGCCTACACCGAAGGGTCTGCCATTGAGTTCCCTGAGTTTCCGATGCTTCACCTGGAACTAAAGGGAAAGACATCGCTAAGTCTTCAGGCCTCTTCTTTTCTGATCGGCTGGGTTCAGGGTTTAGGGTTTGTTGGTTCGGGGAACCCTAAACCGGAACCACGGTAAGTGTCCAACTCGTACCAAGTCCAAGTGTCCATCATGCCATACTGAAAAAGTGGCACGCGCACACCAACGCGCCGAAACCCAAACCTCAAAATTTGGAACCCTGAGCCCGCAGCCTCAAGCTTCAAAATCTGAACCCTCAAGCCAAAATCTTGGTTTAAAACCCCGAGCCCCAAAATTAGCCCTAAACCGCAAACTTTTAAGCCCCAAAACCTCTAAAGCCTAGACCTCATGCATTCCATGCACCTCAACACCCTCCACCCCGAAAGGATATCACTAAGAAGGCCTTATGTAGTCAAATGTAGTCAAGTCAGCAAGCGCAAGCATTGAAGAACGAGTTCCGAGTCTAGGGACAATTTTGACTTTACGTTTTTTACGGGTTCAGGTTTCAAGCTAGGGGGCCCAGCCCCGGCCTGCAGATCAGATTTGGTTCGTGGGCGAAGGGGTCATGCAAACATCGGCTGCTTGCAATGCCCACCATCCCAAGATCCGGTTCCCTCAGCATCCTTTCCTGGAAGAGCAGAGTCTCCTACACAAGCATCGGAGTTTTGTTGGCCTGGCCTTAGTTGACAATAAGGGATATTGAGCACAAAAGTCCCGCGCCATAGCACCCTTTTCCAAACCCTTCTAAAGGCCAGCATCAAACTCATGCCGACATGGACCCGAAACTGCAAGCGAAACATGAACGGGGTCATTGCCCCAAAGCTGGCAATTCAAGACAAGCTGTACGCGCAACTGGTCGAGTTCAGGGTTTAGGCGCCTCGCAGTAATCCATCCACATACTTTAAACCTTCGAACCACGTAGTGTTGCCACACGGCTTGGAGAAGACAACTCTGTAAGGCTCGTTTCCAAAGTTGTCTTCAACATCCTGTCGCCCTCTAAACCCCTTGAAAACAGAAAACCTCATAGAAGGGTTCTAAATAATCCTTCTACGCCCTACCAGCACCCTTAGAGAATTGCCATAAAACCATCTCCAACAGTTCTAGAAGCCTTATAGAACCGCATCGGGTTTTGAAAAAGGCCATGAAGCTTTCAACAAACCCTATACCTATAGAACCCTTGCAAGATCGGCAACAAAAGCCCTGATGCAATCCAGTCCGTGCCCAGCTGCTCGCAACTGCTCCGGAGCTTTCGGAAAAGCTGGACAGCCGCATACCACTGGCCTCGGAAGGGTTTAGGGTCTAAGGACACAAGACTGGGTCCTATAAAGGGTTCTATCAGGGTTCAACAAGGGTTCTATAGGGTCCTAAGACTGGCTTAGGCTTTCGGGTTTAGGGCTCTACAAGGTTCTCTGCTTTTTGCGGCGGGTATATTCACCCTCGCGCTTTCTAAGGGTTCTATGAACTTCGTGGGTTGATTTTGATAATAAGGCTTGAGAGATGCAGGCCTTAACACTCGGATCCTGATGATCTTTCTTGTGACAGGAGCATGCTTTTTTACAGTAATCAACCGAAAATCCAAATCCTACAAGCCCTAAACCCAAGAATCCTCTGGCTAAAGATCCAGACGTCGCTCTGGCTCGGATTCTCTCCAGCCTTGTTGCACAAAGTTCTAAATTCCTCAAACCTTAAGCCCAGTCACGCTCGACCTTCAAGCCCAAGGCCCTAAGCCCTGAAGACCCAAAGCCCGAAATCCTTCAAGCTCTACCGCAAGGAAGAAACCCCGAAAGCCCCGGAACCTAAGCCATCTGTGACTAAAACCTAACCCGCCCCCCCCCCCCCCCCCNNCCGGCCCCCCCCCCCCCCTCCCCCCGCCAACACCCTGACCCCTAAACCCTAAACCCTAAACCCTAAACCCTAAACCCTAAACCCTAAACCCTGACCCCTAAACTTCTCTGCTCAGTGCGAGGCGACCATGGGCACAAGCGACGATCGCCGAGTTGAAGGCGATCAGATTGGGGCGCGGCCCTACCTGGCTCTTCGCTTCTTTTTGGTTGGAGGTCCTGTTTGGTTTTGGGTTTTGGGTTTAGGGTTTAGGGTTTAGGGTTTAGGGTTTAGGGTTCCAAGCGACTCCAACACAGTTCAAATAGGAATGTGCCGTCAAAGGGTGGCTCTTGAGGTCTACTATGTCAGTCTCTTTTGGGTTGGGTTGAGGGCCGGGGGGGGGCCTTGGCTTCAAGGTTTAAGCTGTTTGGGGGTTTGGGTTCAATAAATAGGATTTCGCGATTCAGGGTTTTGGTCTGAAACGTGTTTCTGGGTTTCTGTCATTAGTAGGCTATGACTCGACTGTGACCACCTAACTGTGGGTACAACCCCGATGTTAGTAGAAAGTTGGAGCAGCAGGGAAGGGCTATTTGCACTCATCACGAAACCCTACCTAAATCGGAAACCCAAAGCGTCTTCGGCCCAAACCAAAGTCCCCTGAACCTCAAACCCAACCTCCCCAAACCCCTAAGCCCCACAAAAACTAAAACCCCACAAGGGGAAACACCCTAAACACCCCAAACCCAACAAACCATGGAACCTCTGGAACGCCAAAGTCGTGAGCCCAAGCCCCCTAGCCACAAAACACAAAAAGACACCTAGAACCCAAATGCCCACAAACCCAACCCGAAATCGAAATCCCCAAACTCTAAACCCAAAACGGGCCGGGCCCCGTTGCCTGAAGCATCTCCACTAACATGGCCAGCGACTGCTGCCACTCCTGGAGACATGGGCTTAGGGATTGAGCAGTTTAGGGCTTTTAGAATGTTAGAAGTATCTGTCCCCGTCTGTCTGTATGTGACATGTCTGTGCCAAGTCTGTTGGTCAGCCTGCCGGAACCTGGCAGAAGAATGTAGGGTTTAGGATTTTGATTCAAGGACTGCAGCTTCTTGAAAAATAACGGAAGAATACAGGGAGACACAGAGAGACTCTGAAAGAAAGATGGAACGAACGAACGAAAGAGACAAGAGATTCCGACACTTACACACCACAACATCTGTTGGGTCCAAAGTTTTGTCTCGAGCGTGCGGTGGCAATTTTGGTACATCAGCTTCGTTCTCCTTCGACAAGATAAGCCCTCGAAACCGAGCAGATAACGTCAAGCAACGATTTCTGGTCATTACCGCCTTCATCGGCTCATAGTGGGTCCTCCGCTTCATCGCATGCGGCGATGGCGCACGAGCACACTACGGAGTTCCGGCTGACCTGGGCGACGGCATGGGGGCTCAGGGCTCGGGCCGCAAGATTCAGGAGGCTTTCGGATTCAGGCGGAAAGATGTCGAAACGATTCAGACTAGCATTCTGTAAGCTTCGCTCAGAGAAATGAGGTGAGGGGGGTGTTGGTATGAACAAACCCTGCGCCCTCGACTCGAGAAGTGCTTGTTGGCCTAGACCCGTAAACCCTAAACCCGAAACCCTGAGTCCTAAACGGATGTGCAAGCAACGTCGTTCCTCACGTCTTCGGGTGAGACACTCACATCAACGCCCCCACTCTCCAACGGAAACCCTGAGGCCCAAACCGCCCTAAACCCCAAAGCCTTGCATCCAAAACTGGCCGAAAAATAAAACACCGTAGCTCCCCGAAACCCTGCTGCCAAAAAAAACCTCACTTTACACCCTGCATCAGGGGCACTTCTCCTCTGAAGCCCAACGAACTCATGTCGGCAGGTACCGCTATACTCTATCTGGAGGCTCTATGGTTGGCCTTCCATGCAAGCTCGAGGAAGCAGTGGACCCAAATATAAACCTGAGACATAGCGGGATCCATGATGTTTGAGGCCTACTGTCTTACAGAAGCGTGTTCTGCATGATGGTCCCCCGTCAGTCCTCTGGAAACTCCCATTGAAATAGGAGCCCTGCGTCAACTCCTTCTGGCACTCTCGGATTTTGGAATGTTGGGCCAAGGTTTAGTATGAGGTGCTTGCTAGACTGAAGGGAAGCAAAGACCATCAATCCTAAACCCATTGAGCTCCGCCGCTTTTTGCTCGTCCATGACCCGGAGGAGCTGGACAGCGCAAAGCCACCTTGTCGCTACACAAGTCCTACACCCCCTGGCCTGAGCTCAAACAGTTAGCCCCATGGTAGGGCCGGTCGGGCTTGTTTGGGAGGGATCTTGGCTTCCGGGTGTGTTGCAGTGGGGTCTTGAAGGGCTAAGCACGTTATGGTTTTGCAGCGCTGGAGAACACTGCTGCCAACCCGCAGATAATACCCCCAGGCCCTACATCCTCTGATGCCAAGAGAACATGAGAGCCCTAGGCCGGGAACTCGTGGCTCCGGGTTTCGGGGTTCTCTGCACGCCAAACTTGAAACCCTATAGCCCACCTTGAGCAACAAACCGGGCAACCTCCGCTTTCATGGACATCCACTGAAGGTCGTATAGAGACCCTTGTAGGAGTCCACGTAGGAGCCCTTGTAGGTTTAGGGTTGAGGGGAACCCTTGTAGGATCCCTTATCGAGGAACCATTCATTTTATGGGGCTTCGGGTGTTTCAAGGATTTTTGCTTTGGGGCTGCAGGTTTGAGGGGCCTTTGGCTGGGAGTCCAGAACCCAAACCCAAACAGGTTTCAAGAAAGCCCTAACGCCCAGAAGCCAAAAAAACCCTTGAACTTTAATCCTCAACCACCTTGAACCGAGCCCTTCAACCCTAAACGGGCTTGGTCTTGTTTCCGCCGGTTTTGGGTCCTTTTTCCACCTGTTTGCTGTCTTGGGTTTTTTTCCACCTGGGTGTCGGGTCCTTTTTCCGCATGTTTGCTGTTTCGGGTCTTTTGCCGCCGTTTCGGGTCTTTTGCCGCCCTGTCCGTGCTTGGCTCTTTTTCCGAGGCTCCTTTTTGTTTGGGTTGTATTTTGGGTCGTGGTTAAATTTGCAAAAATAAAAACTTGGGTTGTATTTTGGGTTATGGCTCGGGTCTACAAAAATAAACGATGACTATTGCGTTTAGAACGTCGTGTGCAGGATTCGGCCTGGTTCGTTAGGCTTTAGGGCTTTCAAAGGTGTCCCGGCTGCCGCGTTTGGGCTTGGGGGGGTACGCTTTAAGTTCAGGGTTGTCGGGATTTTCTTTTTCCGCCTGTTTACTGTCTTGGGTTTGTTTTGCCGCGTGTTTGGGTCCTACTCCGACCTGTCTCATGGGTTTCGGGTCTCAGAGCATCCATATCCCAACCATGATGACGTTCCCACAAACTCCATCCGGTCCCACAGAGCATTCATATCTCAACCATGATAACTTCCACACACTCCATCCGTTCCCATAGAGCATCCATATCCCAACCGTGATAACATTCCACAAACTCCATCCGGTCCCACAGAGAATCCATGTCCCAACCATGATAATGTTCCCACAAACTCCGTCCGTTCTGCCAGAGTATCCACGTCCCAACCATGATAACATCCAGCCAGACCCCATCCGTTCTGCTAGAGCATCCATGTCACAACCATGATAACGTCCACCCATACTTCATCCGCTGTGCCAGAGCATCCATGTCCCGACCATGATAAGAACGTCTACCCGTACCCCATCCGTTCTGCTAGAGCAACGGACGTGAAGCAAGCACTACTTTTCCAGTCTCCCCTCGAGTATTTATTCCTAGTAAGTTGCAAATCCCAAAACCCCGCAACGAAGCTGGCAGCCAGTGCCAAGCTAAGCGCTTTCTTGAACGACTGTGGCAGGGCGCCGACAGCATAAAAGTTTTTGTGTCACGACTTTCAACCCTGCCGTGAACCCAGACTGATGTGCACCACACGAAGCCTCATCGCAACTGTGCAGTTCCGATGTAATTTCTGGAACCTGTCTGAAGCCCCAATCACTCGTATATCACGGGTAAAATCAATCTAGCTCACAAGCCGTCGTCGTCGTCGCTGTCGTGCTACTAATAGCAACAGTGCTTGTAGTGGCACTGCTAGTAAATTTGCAAACACACTGTGAGGATGGGGGGGGGGCGTGTGCATCCTGATGCTGCAGCGTCCCGCGCCGGGAACTCTTTTGCTGAGACTCGCACGAAATCGATCTTGTTCACTGCTCACTTCGTCCGGCGCTTCTTGGAAGGGTCGCCCGGATCTTTGCCCTCCCCCCACCGGCCAAAAAAAATCCTTGCAGGTGGATTCTTCGCCAGTCATGCACGTGGTCCCCATTCCGTCCGTCGCGCGGCCCGCCTCGCAGCAGGCGGAAAAGAGACCCAGTGGGCATCAGACCCACCCTAAACCCCACAACTGAGCACCCAAGCTGCATACTCGAAGTCCTATACTAAGTCTAAACCCGAACCCAAGGAGCTCCCTCTCAGCTGCAGGCGCCGCTCCTCGCGCCAGGGCGTTCATGGCTGCCTGGGCCAAGCAGGCAGTTTGGGGTTTAGGGCCTGGGCTCTTGTTGTGTAGCAGAAGGGCTTTCTCTTCTTCACTGATCTTTTCATACAAGGCATCCAATAATAGCACTAAGCTGTCCTTCCTTGTAGTCACTTGAAAGCTAACTTTGTTGACACGAACCTAGTCTCGGATGGAGGCGGACGGCTTGGGGTTTCTATTGGGCCGGCCTGTCGCCTAGCGTTTAGGATCAGGGTTGGCGGCCAGGGCCTGCATTGTAAGGGCTTGAAAGAAAGCAAGCACACCCTAAGAGCCGTCTGTTACAAAGAACGGACCCCAAGCACTCTCTGAACCCTACACCCTCAAACCGTCGACCCCTAAAACCCCAAATTTGCTGAAACCTTGGATCCGATAATTCTTCAGCCCTTAAGCCCGAACTTCTAAAGGTTCAACCTTTAAGTGCTTCTTTGGTATTCTCGATTTCCTGTCCTGGCAACACCAACTTATCTACCGACGTGCCTCCGCCAAAAGGCTGCTCTAAACTAGGTAAGGTTGCGAGGGTTGGGTTTATAAAAACACCCCTAAGTCCTAAACCCTAAACCCCAATGGATTGTAGCTGATTTAAGGGCCACATCAATAGTTGGAACAGGGTTTCGGGGGATACTGTTGCTAACCCCTAAACCCCATCATGGGGGGGGATACCATTACAATGCTAAAATTACTCCGACCCCTTTATGAGGCGAACCTAGGCCTCATAGCAAGGACGTGGATTTGTTTCAGGTTCCCGATGAATGTTTGAAGTCAAAGCGCTGGTAGTACGGAGGTGTGGCGTATGCCGCTTTCGACTACTGGGCTTTAGCACCTGTCTTACTATCATCGTCCCCAATCTTGACACTGCGATGTCGACGCTGCCACTGTCGGCTGGAATTGCTGGTGGTGCCATTCGACCCCCTGTGGCTGTGGCCCCAAATGTCATCACATTCGGCCTGCATGTATGCGGGCTCAGAAGTTAGAGCGTTCGGGCATAATGGGTTTACGTAAGGACTCGGCTTTGTTCAGGGGTCTTGAACATATCATGTACGTTTGTTCTAAAATTTGGTGCTTCGTTCACGCGCCCCGTGAAGAGTCAATGCCGCGGCTTGGCTTCACAAGCCGATTAGGACAAAGATTGACTGAAAAGTTGAATTCACCTTCACCCCTAGAGTGAAAAGCCTGGTGCTGTTCGGCGTAGTGACGCGGTGGTGGATACGATACGCGCGACTTTTCAGTGAACGTTTTTCAGACTGCCTTGCAACGACCGGAACCACATGATGAAACCAGGAGATCTAATTATACGGTAAACCTCTACTACCTAAACCCCGGCCAGAAGCCTTAAACTCCAAACTTTTAAGTTCCCAAACCCCTGAACCTATTGAACCCATGACGAAATCTATACCCAACCCCTGAATTCCTGAACCCTTTAAAAACAACGCAGCATCCTGGATTTGAGCTTTGAGGAAATGCAGGACCCCGTTTTAGAAAATTGAACTGTAGGACGCTACTGATATGACCTGGCAGAAACTTTCTCTAAGCTGGATGGAACTAGCATCCGGCCCTTTCCCAACACGGCTGGGACGAATTTCCTGCATTCATGGTCATATTTCCAAAAGAGCAAACAAATCAATGAAACAACCGTGCATGCACACCTACCTACCTGCCTGCCTACCTTTCATGCATACATTCTTTGCATACATACATGCATACATATATTCCTGCATCCATGCATACATACGTACATACATACATGCATCCATGCATCCATGCATGCATGCATGCATACATACACGTATACCTGCATACGTACAGCTGCGTACGTGTCCATCCATCCATCCATCCATCCATCCATCCATCCATCCATCCAGGCAGGCAGGCAGGCAGGCAGGCAGGCAGGCAGGCAGGCAGGCAGGCAGGCGCCCGTGCATACATGCTACGTTGCGTTACATTACCTCGCATTGCATTACATTCCATTGCATTCCATGGCATCGTTTGCCGTACATCGCATTACAGTTCCTGACATTGCATGACAATGCATTACATTGCGCATCACCCTTCCTTAGGGGTGGTGTTTTGACAATGGCCGAGCCAGTTTCCGGGTCCTCGCGATGGTCCAAGCCGACGATTCATGGAACGCTGGCAAGAAAACCAGGTTGGCTAAGCCAATTAACGATCGTCCACGCCCGGCCGTTTCTTTAGCCAATTATTGCCGCCATCGAAAATGGCTCGGAGGACCCGGAGGGTGCTGGTTAGCCAATTTCGGTGTCGGAAAGAACTGGGTCGAACGACACCGGGCAATCTGGGGATTCCTTCTGGGCTCGGGCTCTTGCTGTGCGGCAGTGCTTGGACCGAAGCTCGTAAACATTGCTGCCGTCGTCTCCAGTGCCTCAAAGCCCAAGGCCGCCTAACCCTGCCCAACCTGGCCCGAACCCCGACGTCCGAAACCTTCGGGGGGCACCGCCTAGCGCCAGCGTCAGCTCCAAAGCACCAGCCCAACCAGCTTCAAGGAGCTTCAAGGTTGGGCCAGGTGTCGCCTTTCACGACTTATGTACGGCAACGGCGAGGGAACATACCTCACATCACAGGAGCCCAGCAACTCAAGCCGTGGCTGTTCGAGTGCGACATCGCTGGTGCATGTCTAGAAGTTTTGAGTTTAGGGCTTAGGCCAGGCTTCAGGGTTTCGGGTCTAAAAGTGTTGGGAGCGCCCGTCTAGAACCCTCGCCCGACTGTTTGCTTCCTTTTCCATCTCTCAACGGCGCTTCCCCGCGCCCTGTGCTGGAACCTGGGAAACAACAGGACGATCTCATCATGGGAATGACGGTGCGACTTCTTGTTGGGACTGTGCGCGCGCAAAGCCCACTGCAAGGCGCACCGCAGGTTCATTTCAGGGCCTGTGGATTTGAGGCTGTTGGAAAGTTTGGTGTTTTGCGGCTTTGAACTGCTGGGGCTTGGTGCTTCCAGAAGTTTGGGGCTTCACGCCACACAGTGTCAAGGCTTCAGGAGGTGTTGGAGTTGCTGTGCTTTGCCAAGCCGCAGCTCCTGCAGGCGGTGCCCCCGAGCCAGCGCCAGGCGGTGCCCCAAGGGGGGGTTCGGAGTTTCGGGCGTCGGGGTTCGTGTAGTCGAGCCAGGTTGGGCAGGGTTAGGCGGCCTTGGGCTTTGAAGCACTGGAGACGATGGGCAGCAACGTTGAAACGACCCGGAAATTGGCGCTAACAAGGACCCTCCGGGTCCTCCCAGCCAATTACGCCAGATGCCGAAAATGGCTAGCGAGGACGCTCCGCGTCCTCTAAGCCATTTTTTGGAGCACTTCCGTCATGGGCATTGCATTGCTCTGCACCACACTGCACTGCACGCATGGAGTTACACATTCCACAACATGCATGATAGCTCAACTCTGATGACACAAAGCTTGCCTCAGTCCGGGAGGCATGTTGCACAAGAGCGAGAGGGCCTTGAGCGCACTTTGGTAGCCAGCTTGAAACTAGGGCCTTAAGTTTACCATAAGTTTACAGTAAGGCTGATGTCGAGGGTTTAGAGATTGCGGCTGGAGGGCTTGAGCTCAAGACTTCAGTAATCCTGTGGTCTGGGGACCCGGGACCAGCTGGCACGGCTTGACGAGAAGGGTTACGGGCTGCCGTGATGAGAACTCCTGTAGTCTCTGCTTTTAGGGCACAGATGAGGCAACATCAGTTTGGGTGGCCCTTCCACGTGGATCTCAAAGTATAAAACCCTTCCTACGAGCCTACGATGTTCATTTTGTGCAGCGGAGTCCTGCGAATAAATCTCCCCTGAATCACGAGGAAGCTGCCCTGAGCATCGAATCCTTTGCTTAAAACGCCTAATCTTCCGCCTTGAACTCGTGTCTGCGAGGACCCTTTGGGGTGTATGGTGTAGGGTTTAGGATTTTCGGGTTTAGGATTTAGGACTTAGGGTTTAAGGTTGAGGGTTTGGGGTTTAGGGTTTCGCGAGTTGCGGACATGGATTTGGTGGCCACGAACGGGTGGGATATCAGTAACCCGAGCCCGAAGACAGACGTCGCTGCTCCCACGTGTCGGAGTTCGAGCTCACCACCAGCGAAAACCGAAGCCCTAAGCAAACATTGGGTTGGGCCGGGTTGAACTTCTGGGCGAAACCTAGGCAATTGTGCTGTTCCGGAAACACACCGCGCGAGGGCAAAAACATGGCCACACTTGCATCCAGTAGCACACTAGCTAAATGTTGCAACGCATCTGCATTCTCGATGCAGGATCATTGTCATAAGCTCTCCAGGTACCTATTACTGTGCGTCTAGCCACGAGGCCTGGTTTTGAAATTCACCCTCAATGTCGGCGCTGGAGATTAGTAGCAATCTGACACAGTCATGGTCGGGGACACTGGCATGCATCCACAGTGAGCCACAGTGGCATCCTCACGACAGTCTGCTGCTCTTGCGACACCGCAACATAGAGCTTGGGATAAGGTATGCTCGTACTATTTTGAGGGGCAAGGAAGCGCGCGCACACACACACACATGCACACACACGCTTTCAGGGATGCTGTGTTGCTGAGGTGAATGGGGACCCGTGGGACAGTGGAACATCTGCGAAAGGCTGAGAATCTATGCCTGCCTTCACGGCCATGCGCTCTGGAACGCATGCCACAATGCTCGACTCCGCTAGACCCTGGACCCTCAAGCCTAATCCCCAGAACCTAACAACCCTAAACCTTGAGCCGAACAACTCTAAAGAGCACAAGAACCAAATCTTGTAAAGCCTAAAGCCTGCAACCCTCAGCCCTTGATATCCCAAAAGACGAACCTTAACTGGCAAGGTTCAAGGTTTTAGGGTTAGGGGTCTGAGGATAATAAACAAGAGAGAGAGAGAGAGAGCGAGATATATATATATATATATTCTACATATATATATATATATGTAACATGCGTGTATACATATATATATATATACATTTATATATATATATATATATATATACACATATATATATATATACACACATACGTATATATTATATATGTATATACACATACATACATATACATATTGTCCCCTTCTCAAGTTCCTAAGAACCCCCCAAGCCGCGGGCGCGCTCCCAGAGACTGCAGGCGGCCATCGTGTCGATTGCCGCAGTCACGCTTTCAACCTGTGGCCTCGAAGTCAAAAGAAGGGTTTTGGGTTTTGGGCTTTACTCCATTATTGAGCGTGTTCAGTGTTGTGGCTTAGGCTTCTTTAAGAGATTTATTTTATGCTTGTTTAGGAATCAGGATTTGTGGGGCTTCTTTAACTAGGGGGTCTTAGGGATTTTTGCCTTCGGTGCTTACGGGTTTTAGGCTGCAGCAGTCCACACCTTGGGTGGCTGTTTGCCCTTATAAGGGTGCTAGGGCTTTCAGGCTTCTGGGTCTATCTATACATGCTCTGCAGAAAGGATGGCATGGAAAGTCTTCGGTTAAAAAAACCCAAGGAAGCCTCTAGACTCTAGAGGCTTCCTACCCCCTTCAACCCTGGACCTCGCGATCTGACCCTAAACCCGAAAGCCAGACCTCGGAAATTTAGCCTCAGAGCCTCAAAACCCCGAGCACAAACTTCGAAACTCACAAAACACACTCCATAGCCCTGCACCCCTTAGACCTAAACCACCAGACCCTTCACACTTCGTAACCCCCAAAACCCTGCACCAATACCTAAAACAGCTTCAACTCGCATACCTAGAACTCTTAAACCCCAATATCTACAGTGAATCTACAGATCTTAAACCTCGAACCCTTAAACCGAATATTCCCAAACCCACAAAGATCAGCCCCTCCTTCGGGTTGAAAGCAACCACAGGGCAGCTTCCCATCGTCCATCGGGCTTGCCTTAACCGTTGGGCATTACTAATCAGAACAAGGTTTGGGGGGGTGAAGATATGGTGGTGTATTTCAAACGGGGCTAGAACTGAGGTGATCCTATAATGACTTATTCCGGGCTTAGCCTTCGGATTCAAAAGCTTTAGGTCGTTAAGGTTTGGGGGGTCGGTCAGGGTAGAGAAGGGCTCTTAGGTTGCCTGTTTGGGGCTTCTTGAGCTGCTTAGGGTGATCGGGGTTCCTAGCACCTTCGGGGTCATGCAGCGCCCTAGACCACAAAGCCAAAAACCCTAAACCGTTGCGGGGGAGTTAGGGTTGGCGGTGTAGGGTTTAGGGTTTGGGGTTTTAGGGTTTAGAGTTTACTACCATCAACTGCCAAACTGTTAGGATGAGAATTCTTGGTATTTCAGCTTTAGGATCTGGGTCCTACTCCCTGGTTCGGGCCTTCAGCAATTTAGAGGTTTAAGGTTTAGGGCTTAAGGAGGTTTAGGGTTTCGGGGGTTTAGAATTCCTACATTGTGAGGGTCTGAAAGTTTTTTTGCCATGCATTGAGCCTTACCCTAAACCCTGAACCCTCAACCCCAAACCCTCAAGCTGAGAAACTAACTTTGGGAGCTTCGAAGCTAAATCAAACAACCCGAATTCTGAATCCTGGAACCGCAAGGCCCCTGTCTTCCACAGCCGTCTGCCAAGTGAGAACCCTAAAAGACTCTCCAGTAGCTGAACTTGCAATTGGAATAGGGTGTCGGGTTTTTTTCTACTATAGAAACTCATAGCGACTACAAGGGGATGTTATTGCCAAGTATTCCGACCCCCATATCGATACCTAAACCCTACAACTTCCTCTAACAGTGACAGAGGTCGCTTGGGCCGGGGCAGCTGCTAACGAGAATGTTGTGGGTCACGGGATCTGTTTGCAAGCCTGTCGACGTCATCTTGATGGATGGGCTTTTCTGGGGCAGGGTCGAGCCTGTCTATCACTATTCAACTATACCTTTGGAGCGGACTTTGACGTTGAAGAGCCCTCCTCTGCTATAGGTGCTGTACTTCTGTTGGGCGCGTAAGACTTTCGGTCGTTACAAAGAACCCTAAACACGAAACCTCAAACCCGGGAATGATCCCATATACTAACCCTAAACCCCGGAAGGGAAAACGTGGAACAAAAAGCAGACGCGAAACCTGAAAGCTTGGAACAGCCATAAGCCTGAAGTTACAGGGACAAATCGTAAATGCTGTGCTGCCCAGTGGTAACTTAGATTCAGCTCTATCTCAAGAACCCTGCAACCCTAATAACTCCCTACCCTGATATGATTCACCCACAAAACAAAAAAAACTGTATGCAAGCTTGCAAACCAACAGGAACCCCGTAAGTTCCTTAACAAGAACCCAGGAAGATCCTAAAGCCTAAACTCTGATAAATCCCGATAAACCAGCATGACTGCTGAAGTTTCTTCGCAAGAGACAACAAAAGGCGCGCCGCTCGGAAACGACCCGCTGGCACTCAGAGACGCTAAACCTGAAACCCTAAACCTTACACCCCCCCCCCCAACCCCTAAATCCCCTAAACCCAAAAAACTCCTAAATCCCCCGAAACCCCCAAAATCCACTAAACACTACACCCTAAACTCCTAAATCCCCTAAACTCGAAACCCCTAAATCCACTAAGCACTAAACCCCAAACTCCTAAATTCCCTAAACCCGAGACCCCAAATCCACTACACACTACACCCTAAACTCCTTAACCCCCTAAACCCGAAACCCCTGAATCCACTAAACACTACACCCTAAACACCTAAATCCCCTAAATCCACTAAACATTACACCCTAAACTCCTAAATCCCCTAAACTCGAAACCCCTAAATCCACTAAGCACTAAACCACAAAATCCTAAATCCTCTAAACCCGAAACCGCAAATCCACTAAACACTACAACCTGAACTCCTAAACCCCCTAAGCCCGAAACCCCTAAATCCACTAAACACTACACCCTAAAATCCTAAATCCCTTGAACCGAAACCCATAAATCCACTAAACACTACACCCTAAACTCCTAAATCCACCAAGCACCACGCCCTAGACACCTGAATCCCCTAAACCCGAAACCCCCAAATCCACTAAACACTACACCCCAAAATCCTAAACCTCCTATACCCGAACCCCTAAATCCACTCAACGCCAAACCCCGAAACCCGATACCCCTACATCCACTAAGCACTAAACCCTGAAATCCTGTATCCCCTAAACCCGAAGCCCCTAAATCCACTAACCAATACACCCTAAACTCCTAAATCCCCTAAACCCGAAACCCCTAAATCCACTAAGCACTAAACCCTAAAATCCTAAATCCTGAACTCGAAACCCCTAAATCCATTCAACACTACACCCTAAACTCCTAAATCCCCTAACCCTGAAACCCCTAAATCCACTAAGCACTAAGCCCTAAACACCTGAATCCCCTAAACCCGAAACCCCTAAATCCACTAAACACTCCACCCTAAACTCCTAAGTCCTCTAAACCCGAAACCCGTAAATCCACCAAACACTACACCCTAAAATCCTAAATCCCTGAAGCCGAAACCCCTAAATCCACTAAACACTACACCCTAA